CTCTCTCTCTCTCTCTCTCTCTCTCTCTCTCTCTCTCTCTCTCTCTCCCTCCTTCTCTCTCCTGTTCTTACCTCCAGCCAGTCTGTGTTGACTCGTTGCAGCAGGAAGATCACCTCTCCCTTCTTCAGGTTCAACTCCGCTTTTCCGTTGCCGCGAAAGTCAAAGATCGCCTAGGAGACACACACACACACACACACACACACACACACACACACACAGAAGAAACCACACACACACACACACACACACACACACACACACAGGTTAGTGAGAGGGGAGAGGAACGAGAGAGACGGACACATTCAGCACAAAGAAGAAGCGAAGAGACGCTGAGAGCGGAAAGGTAACACACTCTTTATTTATTGTGTGTGTGTGTGTGTGTGTGTGTGTGTGTGTGTGTGTGTGTTATTGAGGAAGAGGAGTAAAGGACCTGAGTGTGTGAGAGAATGAAAGACAGGATGAAGGTTCACTTGATGTGCTCCGTTACGCTGCTGCTGTCTGTCGTATTTTAAGATTTCAATACAACTAATGATCATCATCAAGAACTCTAGATATCGCTTTATGACATGTTGAAGCTCCAATTTAGGTTAAATCCTCAATCCAAAGGTTTAACAGCTAATCAATCATTCATAACTCACATTACAGTCATAATGCAGCACCGCTGTGTGTGTGTGTGTGTGTGTGTAAGACAAAGTAAAAAGCATGCACAAGGAGTTTTTAAAAGTGGTTCAGCCTGAGGAGATGATGTGTGTGTGTGTGTGTGTGTGGATGCTCCACCATCCTGGTTAGCATCGGTGCATCTGGAATAAAAAACCCGGCTGCCAGAGTTGAATTAGCATTTAAAGTAGAACTCAGTAGAGTCATTACGATGCTTTAAACCTGTTCCTGTCCTTTACAAAGAGACTGAAGTAGCCTGTTACACACACACACACACACACACACACACACACACACACAATAAGCAGCTTGACAGATTCACAAGTTTGTGTTATGAAAGAGATGATGTGGGACTCTGAAAACAGGGAGAGAATTACAACCAGAGTGGGAGGACGAGACCGGAAAAAAAAGAACGAGGAGCGGTTAAAGCAGTGGGAGGGAGGTGAAGAAGAAGAGGAGGAAGATGAGGAGGAGGAGATGAGGAGAGTTTAAGTTAAACAGAAGGTTCAGGCTGCACAGATCACTGCGCTTCTCACGTGGTGGTTTTTATAGCGCGATGATCCTCAGAGGACACCGAGCGAGTCTCTTTATACACGACACCAGATTCCACACAGAACGTGAGCTACACGCACCAACAGACCTGCTGTCAGTCCTCTGAAACACCAGAGGACCACAAACAAGATGAACCGAGAAGAGTCAAACAGACTAAACTCCATAAACTAACCTCCACTACAGAGAGGAGGGATTATAATATCTGTAAACTCATATCTCATGTTCATGAACTACTTCATCACCTTCATACAAACCTGTAGAGAAACAAGTCCTCCATGTGTTATAGAGAGACTGAGGTTGAACTCATGTAAACTGTTTGATTCAGCTGATACATACATTTACTCACATGTAGATGTTTAACACTTCCTGTTTCTAAAGCTTCTAGAGATGAATTGTTCTTCCTTGTCCTCAGACGTGTAAATAATGTGTTTATCAGTGAATATTGGTCGTTTACGTCTCAAACGTCCTGGTTGACTTGGTTCTGTGGTGGTAACAGCAAGTGTGCTTGAACATACAACGTGTTGGGATGTTTCACCTTTACAACTTTTAAAGTGCTTGTTTTCTGAATGGAGTCTGGCTCGATTGTTGCTATGCTAAGCTAACATAGTAGCTGCTCCATCAGCACTCAACATATCATCGTCATCTAGGCGTGAATACGGCGGCGACGTTGTTGTTTGTACCAAAGACAGTCTGTGGTTTACAACACTTAGAAAGACATTTCAATCCTCATTTCTGATTCTGATTGAATCAAAGAGTTAAAATCTACCACAGATGCACCCACAGCGGCATCAAAAGACCAGAATGCATTGCAGCCACAGCTTTGAGTCTTTCATAACGTGTAGATTACACGATGGCTTCCTCGGTGACATCTTTCTAATTTGACCGACCCAGCAAAGCACACAATGAATTGTTCCATCTCCTCTCACTAATATATATATATATATATATATATATATATATATTAGTCTAAATGCAGCCACACAACCCTTCGGTTCATTCGGCCCTCAGGAGCAATCATCCTCTGAAATTAGACTCGCCCCTCCCCCGCCTTAATGAGCTTGTTAAAACCTCAGCTCGTTATCTGGCAACAGGGAGGTGGAGATGAGAGTTGAGGGTTACTTTCTTTTCTCTCCCCCTGACGTTTAATGAAAGTACATGGCCCACTTCCTAGACGGCCTGGAGTGAAGGATCATGGGAGGACGTGCTTGCTTGCGTATAAGAATGAGCTCAGGTTGTGCGAGGAAACTACAGTATGCATTTATTAATATTTAATATCTATGTAACTAACAAACCTCGAGAGCACAAACGGACACAAAGCAGATAAATAATATCAGATACATAAATTCTTCAAGTTGTTATTGTTCCCGTGTTGGCAAGTAATTTAATTTTTAGACATTCAGCAAGATTAGCATTTATTTGAAATCATATTTCTGGGAACCTGAAGCCAAAGCTTCATGTGTTAAAGCTGCATTCTCTCTAGTGTCCACCAGGGGGCGACTCCTCTGGTTGTATAGAAGTCTATGAGAAAATGACTCTATACACCACCTTATACGGCATCAATCGTCGAACTCGAGGCTTGAAAACGTCCACAAACCGATGAGACGTCATGATGACTACATCCACTTGTTATAGACAGTCTGTGGCAAAAAGCCATAAACTACAGAGAGGAGGGATTGTAATTATCTATAAACTCATATTCATAAAGTATTTTATCACCTTTATACTAAACCTGCAAAGAAAGAAGTCAAGTATTAAATGTATTATGAAGAAACAAAGGTTGAATATCCTGTAAACTATTTGATTTAGATGATAAATATTGACTTTAATGTAGATTTTTAACACTTCCTGTTTCTAAAGCTTCTTAAAATGAATTGTTCTTCAGACGTGTAAAGAGCTGCAAACGAGTTAAAGACTCACCGACACATCAATGATTGATCTTATTAACCGTCACATTCAACGTTTCTTCCTGGTGATTCCAAGCGATAAACCCGCATTGTTAGCATCATGCTAACTGGGAGCATTATGTCCCACTGAACTTATGAAGCATGCAACAACATCAACCCTGTTCGGGGCTAAGCCCGAGCTAAATGCTAACGCTAACAACGGCTCTACAGTGACAAATCGCCAGCGCTCCCCTCTCATTGGTCAGTTGTTGGGATGGAGTCACACACACACACACACACACACACACACACACACACACACACACACGAGAGAGCTAAAATAAATGTTGAGTAGGCCGGCTGCTTCGTGAGTAGAGCTCACCAGTGTTTTACTTCTGTGTGGGAGAGAGGGGAGGCAGAGAGAGAGAGGGAGGCAGAGAGAGAGAGGGAGGCAGAGAGGGTAGGCAGAGAGAGAGGGAAGGGGGGAGTAAAAATGGAGTGTTTGCTCCGAGTTTGGCAATAAAACAGATAGAGTGTGTGTGTGTGTGTAGAATTTAAGCACTTTTACAAGCTGCAGAAACAGAAACTCTTCACCTGCAGACGCACGCGCGCGCGCACACGCACACACACACACACTATAAAAGAGGAAATTATTTCCGCCACTTCTAAACTGCAATGAACTTATTTATAATATCAATTAATCAATTAAATGTTTGGTCTATAGAACATGTCCATAGCGATGGCTGTCATCCATTATTGCTCCCACACACACACACACACACGGCTGCTGGTTTAGTTTAAAAATAGACTACGATGGTTTTAAACTGAGTGTGTGTGTGTGTGTGTGCGCTCTCGTTATTCTGTCTTCATGAGGACCAGCTGTAGTTTTAGACCATGTGAGGCCCTTTGAAGGTTTGTTTTGGGATCTGTTTCTGGTCACGCTCCGGTCGGGGAGTGTTGGGCCGTTTAGTCGTAACGTTATCCATCTAAAGGCGAGCTGATGGAGGAGGTAATTGGCAGGTCGTCACCACTTTAACCTCCTGCAGAATATAAACGCTGTTCCTCTTCTCTTTGTTACGGCTTCGGAGTGAAGAAGGCGTGAACGGCATGAGGAAGAGGAGGAGGAGGAGGAGGAGGAGGAGAGGGAGACAAACTTGACCTTGGGAAGAGAACGAGCGAGGGGAGAGGAAACGAGGACACAGTTAAGGGTTGTTTAAGGGGAGGAAGAGACGAAGCGAGGAGGAGGTGAGGGAGGCTAATAGGAAAGGAGAGAAGGAGACAGATATTTAAAAGAAGGAAGTGAAACAAGGAGACAAAGCGTGAGACAGCATTTGATGAATGAATTCATCCTTATTGATTTAAATCTGTGTTCTTTCTATTTTAGTGCTTTTATGCATCTCCAGTAAAAAGTAGTGTGCGTGTGTGTGTGTGTGTGTGTGTGTGTGTGTATGTGTGTATGTGTGAGACAGGATCACATGGTATATTCATTCTTCGTGGTCGTTTGACCAAAACGTTGTTACTCTGTGGGTTGCCATGGAGACTGTAACCGAAGCAACAGCAACAACAACAACATATACTGTATATTTTAAACGTGGCTCCACATTACCTCGGCCCGGGGGGACGAGAAGCGGTCCATCTTTGGTTTGACCGTCTTCCTAAGAGACAAAAGAAGAGTTTGATTAATGATGAGATACCTTCAGGCTCAGCTGATGTTAGCGTGCAAAGCTAAGCTGGTGAACAAGGTAGAGATCATACGATAGCTTTGTGAGCGTGACGGCATTCTGATGTTGTCTTTTAGCTCAAAGTGCGGCCGTAGACTGAGTAAAACATGGACGCTGTCTCTATGACGTGAGAGAGTTTCTGAAGTTTAAAGATGGAGAGAGGTGGAGCAGACAGCTAGCAGCTAGCCTCCTGAGACAACACACACCTGTCACTCAAAGAGGCCACGCCCTCAATCATGCTTAACTTTAACCCTTAGTATAACTCAAACGGGTGAGTTATACTTAAATTCATCCCTGTAACGTTGTGATGAATGTAGATTTTAGCCGTAGAGCGTCACCATGATTGTTTCTGCTGTAAAGTGGATGAGTCCATGGGGACTGACTCACTTTGGGAGCCTCAAGTGGCCATTTGAGGAACTGCAGTTTTTAACACTTCCAATCACTGAGTGTTGTTTAAAGAAGCAAAACGCATCGTGTTACTATTATCGTATCGACTACTGAAACAAGAGCAGTTCAACGTGCCAAGGCTGAATGAAGCTCATCATAATAAAACTACAAAAATAGGAAATGCCAGAGTTCCTTTGTAATGTTCCAACACATACAAGTAAAAAGGTTGAATGCAAGAGCAGAGAGGAAGTAATGAGAGTCTGCGTTTGCATCACTTCCTGCTGAGAGAGTCCCTCTTTACCACATCTCCTGCTGCAATCTGACCACGGAGACGTGAGCCGTTAACAAAGAGGAAGTGGACCGTGAACCAGTTTACCACCGTTTTCTCTGAACGCATGCGTCCTTGCCTCCTTCCCTCTCTCGCATTTATGAATGTTCTCCTCTCAGGTTGTGTCGGTTTAAATCCATGTCTGTCCAACACGTCATCATTGTATCATTTTAGACACGTATATACACATACACACATGTACATATATACATGTACACACATATGTACATACATACATGTACACATATGTACACACACACATACATGTACACACACATGTACACACACACATACATGTACACACACATGTACACACACACATACATGTACACACATGTACACATACACATGCATGTACACACACATGTACACACACACATACATGTACACACACATGTACACACACATGTACACATACATGTACATACACGTACACACACATGTACACACACATACACACATGTACACACATGTACATACACACATGTACATACACACATGTACACACATGTACACACATGTACACACATACATACATGTACACACATGTACACACATACATACATGTACACACATGTACACACATGTACATACATGTACACACATGTACATACACACATGTACACACACACATGTACACACATGTACATACACACATGTACACACACACATGTACACATGTACACACACACACACATACACACATGTACATATACACATGTACACACATGTACATACACACATACACACATGTACACATACACACATACACACACACATACACACATGTACACATACACACATACACACACACATACACACATGTACACATACACACATACACACATGTACACATACACACACACATACACATATATACATACACATATATACATACACATACATACACATACACATATATACATACACATATATACATACACATATATACATATATACATATATACATACACATATACACATATATACATATATACATACACATATATACATACACATATATACATACACATATATACATACACATATATACATATATACATACACATATATACATA